GGGGCTCTGTGGTGCTCCCCGCAGGGCCCAGTGGACAGTGCTCCCGGGGGGCTCTGTGGTGCTCCCCGCAGAGCCGCAGCGGACGGTGCTCCCGGGAGCAGGGTCAGAAGTGAGAGTGACAGCAGAGAGCTCAGACGAAAATCATTTGCTGTAGTAAAAAGCAGCGGATTTCATAGGACCTACGTTTCCTGAGCAAAGTTCCTGCTGGCCGGTGTCCACAGGGCCCTGGGCCGTCCTGGTGGGGCTCCCGGGTGGGGCAGCAGGAGGGGCTGGCCCCTGGCCAGCCCACGGCCCCCTGCAGAGCCAGGTGCTCACGGCGGGCAGGAAACTCCCTGGATCCCTGGGCGGGGGCTGCAGGTGGGAGAGGATGGGGTGCACAGGCCCGGAGCGCCCCTGGACACAGCCCGTCATGTCCGTCTAGCCAAGGCCAGGGAGACCGTCCTTCCCGGCCGGTCGACTGAGTGGGGCGGCGCTGGGCCCTCAGCGGTGGGAGCACAGCCCCACGGGGCACCAGGGGCTCTGCCAACTCGGGGCCACAGGCCAGGCAGTGAGGAGACCCGGAGGGAAGGACAGTCGAGGGCCAGGTCATCCTGCGCCCCACAAATCAAGAGGGCCGTGTCGGGTTGCGGCCTGCCGTGTCCACAGTCCGCGAGTCGACCCTGGGGAGCCTGGGAGCCACTGACCCGAGAGCCGGGTCAGGGCTGCGGCCTGCCCCTTCTCTCCAATGTGGGGATCCCCTTGCTGCTCCCCCAAGTTTCCTGCCTCGGCAGAGATGCTGCAAGAGGCCCTCTCCAGGACAGCGGGGCGCATGCCACATTCCCATCTAGCTGGGGGTGGGAGCAAGCGCAGCCTGTGCTGACCGTGAGGGAGGTCAGGGGACACTGCAGCTGTGTGGTGGAATATTACTCAGCCTGGAAAAAGGTGGACAGTCCGTTCCTGTGCCACACACCGAGCTGGAAGCCAGCGTCCCCCAGCCCAACAAATGAACTCCTCTAAAAGAGGGGTGCAACGACTGACCCGGGCGTGGAGGCCCTGGCATGGAGGACCTCAGGACATCCCCCAGAAGGCCCGACAGTCGCCTGGTTCTGGCCCTGGAGTTCCTGGGAGGGTGAGTCCCAGCGAGGAGAGGAGGTGGCAGGGGAGGGGCAGGAGCGTGTGAGGGGCAGGGCTCTGGGGGAAGAGGAGAACCTTCTGGAACTAAGGGGGGCTGAGGC